GGAGGTTGGCGCCCGTGAACGATATCGAGTCCGGTGCACCGGCAAGCAGCAGCAACCAGGAGAAGTGAAGTTGGGTTGTTGGATTTCAGCCTTCAAGTGTCAGCTGTGCTCATTGAATTTGGGATGTGGGCGTGTTTCAGCTGCTGACTGCTGATGTTACCTGTTGCCTCTTACTCCGTGTCTGAGCGCGTGCCTGCAGTTCAAGCCCATGTCATGACGAGTCAATATTGGTTTCAGAAGGACAAAATACTTGGCTCAGTGAGTCAGTGCAATCCCAGCCATCATTTACAGGGTCGTGATTCATAATTTGTATCATGCTTAGAAGTTCTCTGGACAGGAAGTCGGAAAGTGTTCAAGTGCATCCAGAGTGGTTAGAAGTCCCGCAGCCTGATAAATTGATTCTGTCACGCATTTGTACTTTGAGCACGATTGTCATCTTAGAAGTCCTGCACTCCAGCAGTGCCTCTGTTGCACTTGATGGTGGACCGCTCGTTCTGCCTGGTGCTGTATGATTCTTGGTGATGGTAGGCCGTGCTGACTGTGACGTTGACCATGCCTGCCAGACTTGATGGGGCATGGTTCCTGGTGATGGCGGGCTGCCGGCGGATGTCAATGAGCTGTCAGACAGCTCTGAGAGTGCATGTCGTCGGCCTGCGGAGCCCCTGTTAAAGAAGGCAAGGACAGCTGGCTCTGCTGCAGAGAAGGACAAGCGACGAGCTGCGGCCGACGACCAGTTGCACTTGAAGCGCATGTTGGCCAAATCATGCTACAAATCGTGCAAACGAGGTTGCAAGCGATGGTTCCAAGCTAAGAAGGGCTTTGATGAATTGCTGGCCTTCCGGAAAGAGTGGAGGCAGTTCCACAAGACGGATCAGGATCAACTCGTCTCCCGACTCACTAATTCAACCATGATTCGTCCAGTAAATATATTATAACGTATTGTGTTGGGTTTTTAATGACTGAATCCAGAGATCTGGCACTATTAGTATAGTATTAATTATTCTTATTCCACGACTGTCATTTGTAGTTAAAGCTAGCATTTTCAAAGTAGCAATTTAAATTTAGCGGAGGTACAATCGAAAACAGTAATCGAAAACTTGAAGTCTGTCATTATCATATCATGTCATGAATTCAATTTTAATGGCGGCTGACAGGTCTTCGAGCGGGTCCGAGAAGCCTTGGAGAAACCAGTGTGCAAACGCTGGGTGTTTCTGGGCCGTTCTGTATGTCTGCGAGCGTGGCTTGCGCTTCATGGCTTGGGCGCCTTGGCAGCCGTTAGTATTATTATGTTAGTTTGAACATGTCATTCTCAGACTGCCTTCACTATCCATTATCGTCATCATCCTTAGGCCCACTGCTAAATTTGTTCCTAAAGGGTCATATTAAAATTAGTAACCATTCGTTGTGATTCTGTTCGATAGACATCAATGAATTTCGAAGGGGCAGCACGGTTCAAGAAACTGCGGAAAGCTGTCAACGACGGTCTTGCTGGCCCACCTGCCGACCTGCGGTTTCTGAAGAAGTGCAAGCCTACACAGGAAGGCGTTTCGGAAATATTCTCGTTCCTGGAGGAGATTTACAACAGTGTGGCAGAGAATATGCCAGATGTCCGAGATTCTACCATGGATCCAGACCAAGATCCTTACGCAGCGGCCCTTACCAACCCTGACAGAGAGCTGGACTTGCAAGCGGAGGCTGCTGCTGCTGCTGCAGGCGATGCCAGGAAGACTCGACAGCGATTCAGGAGTGTCACAGCTTCTGAGAAGACGGAAGACCAGGAACCAAGGTTTCTACCGCCTGGCAGCATGAAGGAATACTTCGAGCAGTTCCTTTTGCAGTCCAAGCAGAAAGTTGGTTTCGCCACGTTCTGGCGGGCAGCTCAACTTCAACATCAGTTAACAGTTTTAAAAAACATAGTATCATAAATAATTAATTGTGAAGTTAAATAAAACTAATTTGGTAACGGACCAATCACAGCCGCGAACCTTGCAATCCAGGTCTGGCGCCGGCACTTCCCACGCATGACATTCAGGCCGACGAGCTCCCATGCAGTGTGCACCACCTGTGTGCGTCATAAGAGTTTGATCGCGTCCTTGAACCATCACCTGAATGCACGACGACACCAACAAGAACTTTACTATGCTCATATTCGTCAGCAGTTCAATGACCGTTGCATTTACTGGTCCATGCGAGGCCTGGCACGGTTGAGAACTGACACCGTCACGATGATCTGCGACGGCATGGATCAGTCGAAGTTCTGTTTGCCAAGAAGTCCGTTCATGCGGGCGAAGGCATTCGACTCATGGGCACGGCCAAAGCAGCACGTCTATTGCTGTCTGGTACACGGACACTTCATCGCAATGTCCGTCTCCGAGCCTTGTCTGCGCAAAGACTCCAATACTTGTGTGGAACTGGTCGGGTCTTGCCTCCAGCGCTTGAAGGATCGGGGAATGCAGCTCAGCAGGACCCACGTGAATATCCAGGCAGATAATACGTCTCGGGAGATGAAGAACGGACCTGTCCTT